TCTGTCTGCGTGCTGAGACCTCTGGGTCCGGGCTGCAGCCTTGGACATGTTTCAGGGCCCAAGTGCTTTAGAAACAAACTAAAAGGTTACCAGAGCTGCTCTGCAGCTCCAGGACGGTGGCATTCAGGGCCCTGAGGATTGCAGACTCCTTCCTATTCCTCTCTGTGACTGAGGCTATGCACAACATGAAATAAACTTCCAGACACACACACCTTTCTTTTCAAATGCTGGTAATTGTGCCAGACCAGAGAAATCAATGGTGTGGTAATGGGGACCCACATAGCAATTTACAAGATTAATGAGAGAGGCTTTGATTTGAGGAAGTACACGCTGTTGCTACCTCCCTTTGTTACTTCTTTTTAAGCTTTGCAACTCCTCATGGGACTTACCCAGTTCTCTCATTCCCAAACCATCGCCCATGACCTAGATGTTGCTCTATCCCATATTCATGACAATAGCATACCCCTCATCTCATTATTATATTACCCTGATGGTTTTTCTTGATAATTTCTACCTTCTCACTTCTCATTTTCTCCTCAATCTCTCACTCTCATGAAATATGACTGAAATACCTCGCATTCCATTGACGCTGCTCCTATTGAGTGCACCAATGACCTAATTAAAAAGCCTTATGAACACTTCTCTGTTATTAGTTAAATGAAATTTCTTTCTATCAGATGGTTAACTTCCTACTTTTTAAAATTAACCCTGACATAAATTTCTCCTGATTCTCTTCCTGCCCCTCTGTGTACAGATAGTTGAATCAAATAACTTGCAAAAGAGAACATCAAACACACAAGCTCAGCTTGTGTTGCTAGCAGCCACATCTCTGGATAGTATTACTCATCCAAAATAGGTCATTATCCATAGATGATATAAACATGTTGATGTGTAAGGCTGCAGTCACTCAAGATTGCTTATATCACTCTGATTCTATTTAACATAATTGATAATATAACTGCATGAGATAACATTTAAAAATATTTGTAGGTGTAATTGATAGTTTCTTCAATAACTATGAAAAAGCCCTGAATTACTAGTCTAGTAATGTGATTTGTGCACAGTATGCCCTCACCACTATTATATTCAAATTATTTTGGTTTTGATGTTATTCATATAATACTATATAATTTGTATAATAGTTACCTAAGTATCAGTTTTACTAGACAGTTGATTCCTTGTAGGATCAAAATCACGTCTGGACATATCTTAATGAATCTTGGATGTAGTAAGTTTTCAATAAATTAGATTGATTAAAATGTTAGACAGCTTTTCTTTTTTAAGAAGAAGACTTGAAAGTCCTTTACAGTAGTGAATTTCCCATTAGTGTAATGATATTCACCTAAAACTACAATATTCCTTTTCTGGCCAGCAATATTGCATAACAGATTGTCTAGTAACTAGAAGAATACAAATCATAGTCAGATGTAGAATTAGTACAACTTGACTTGTGATTTTCCAGTTTATATAACAGGTAGGTTACATAATCATAGATTCAATAGCAGTATTTGCTTCAATTTACAATGTATTCCCAACTATCTTAGCAAATAAATAAGACACATATCTACGCAGCAATGAAAAATAAAACATTAAAATCAAACACAGCTTACTAAAGATTTCAAGTTTTCAACCAGGCTCTGAAACTATAATTATTGGTCTTTTGCACTATATTGAAAAGATGCACTATATTGAAAAGATGCCATTTATTTTTGATTAAAATTAATGGTTCTTTTTAGACAGCCAACTTTCTTTGCCATTTAACAAAGATTGTATCCTAGGGTTTTGTATTATTTCAGGTCTAGTGTTATTTAAAAGTCTGAAAAATCAGATAACAAAATGTTGAATTTATTTTTGTTTTATTCGTGTAAAAGTCCTGTAGGCAGGAAAATAACAACCTGGATGCCTAATACTGACATAAAGCCTGATAATCACATGATGCAAAAAAAAAAAAAAAGAAGAAGAAGAAGCACTAACTAAAAAACTACCAAGCTGTGGATTGATTCCAGGGAGCAGGAAGACTCCTTTGACATGTGTGGCCAATGTTTATCATTTTTACAACATGCAAAAATTATCAAACTAACAAAAAGTCTTTAAATAATTTTGGTATGACACAATAAGTAAAGAGAGAAAAAAATAGTAAGATGTCAATTAGTATTGTACAAAAAACACATCTTCATAGGTCATCAAAAATGAATAAAAGGGACATTGCCTCACTTATTATCAGGGAAGAAGTCCCAGTAACAGAATAAATGAGGCATGAGCATGTACATTAAGATAGGACTCTGATCATCATGTTACCTGTGCGTCCAATAGGAAACAAGGGAGAGAGTACTGGGTTTGGGGAGAGGAGGTGGGGACAATCTAGGTAAGATTTGAAAAAATAATTACAGGCATACAGCACAAAAGGAAAGACTAAATGGAGCAAGATATAGTAATTAACATGTCCTCTTTGGGGAATTTTTTTTTTTCATTTAGATAAAAATGAATCCTGACTGCCACAATATTTCATTTGGCAGGATATCAGGTAATTTATATTTCAAATATGATCTCATCATCAGTTCCATCTGTTGATACTAAGTGAACATTCATAATGCTTGAAACTCTGACGGGTAGAACACATACCTAAAAATCAAAATCTTTGAATCTGAGACACACATACCAATGAAAACTGATAAGTATGCTCTTATCTTGCATAGGTTGTATACTCATTTTAAGTCTTCCCATTTCATCTACCAGCTCTCCATTCTAACTCCAGGGGCCAGAGCAGGGAGAAACAATAGGAAGATGCCAGAGAATGAGCTCAAATAAGTGTTAAACCTTTTTTTGCTAATCTCCCGAGGATATATTTAGAGAGAGTGGAAGGGAGGGTGGAGGAGAGACAGATGAAAGAAACCTCAGTGTGAAAGAGACATACAGATTGGTTGCTTCCTGCACATGCACTGGCTCGGGTATTGAACCCAAAACTCTGGTAGGTGCCCTTGACCAGGAATTGAACCCACGACCCTTCAGTGCAGGGGCTGAGACTCTAACCATTGGGCAACCGACCAGGGCACCTTCTTAAAGAGGACTAGCATATTTTTTTATGCTAAGCCACAGGGAGGGAAATAATACGTTAAGGGGCTCTGATCCTAACCAATCCTTGTTTAAGGGCTATTCATAGATCCAAAGTATCTTTCCCTTTCTCTCACATTTCATTTCATAACTGAAAGCTGTAAAAAGCGAAAGGTCATGTTGGCATGAGGAAGTCCTCTAAGTGCTGGATTCATAAATTTGCCACTTTATCCTTAACCCAGATACTAAGATCCGTGACTTCCCTTCTACATGCAGAAAATCTGGACCAAGTACAGGGTAGAGGCTATCCAGTCCTCTCTGGAAGCCTGTCTCCAGCTAGTAAATACCCCTCTTCCCTCAGCCATCTTGAATGTACTTCTCAACCTCCAAGGCCCAACTCAAGTTGTTTCTATTTCATGGTATTTTTCCTTGTCCCATCCAGACAGATTTAACCAAACTCTCCCTTGGGCCAAACTTTTATCCTGAGGGCTATTATCATTATGGTTTTTAAACTAATTTACATTTGTGAATTTGAATGCCTATCTCCTCTACTAGACTATGAATTTGAGTACACAGTGAAGTCTCTTGTAATGGGTCATTCAATCCATCCCCATTCAACATTATTCCCACGCTACAAGAGAGCTAAATAATGCCTTCCCTATGTAATAAAAGCCTAGGTGGTGTCACGTGCAACATCATCCCAAGATGGCCACCCTCACGTCATCTGCCACAAGATGGCCTGCAGGGGAGGGCACTTGGGGGTGACCAGTCCTGCAGGAGAGGACTATTGGGGTGATTGGGCCAGCAGGGGAGGGCAGTTGGGGGAGATCAGGCCTGCAGGGGAGCAGTTAGGCATCAATCAGGCCAGCAGGAGAGCAGTTAGGGGGCGATCAGGCAGGCAGGCAAACATGTAAGGGGTTAGGAGCCAGCAGTCCCGGATTGTGAGAGGGATGTCTGACTGCCAGTTTAGGCAGAGATCCGGCCTAAACTGGCAGTCGGACATCCCCCAAGGGGTCCCAGATCGGAGAGGGTGCAGGCTGGGCTGAGGGACACCCCCTCTTCCCCCATGCACAAATTTTGTACACCGGGCCTCTAGTTTACAATAATGGGTCCTCCATAAATATTTTTGCATTGTCATAACCAAAAACGCAGGTTTGGCTGCCTGCCACACGGAAAGCCAAACTCATCAAACAGGTGCTGGTCCAAAAAGAAAGATGTTTATTCATGCGTAGCAACCTGGAGAACAGTGGACTTTCACCTCAAAGATCATTCCCCCTTCCTGTTCAAGCCCACTGTTCTTATAGAGATAAGGAGGGAGGGATTTTATCTACTTAATTATCTTGCTAGCTTTCCTGTGCTGGGACCCTGTCCATTCATCTTCCTATCTGTTTGCACACTTGGTGTAAGAACCTACCCCTGTGGCCATTAGGCCAATGGGGGAGATTCCCAGACACTTCATCTTACTGTTGATTGTAACATTGTTCCTTTAACATCTTCTCTTGTGTAGTTGAACCAAAAAATGTTGTTGCTACCTTGTTCAAAGGGAGAGTCAAAACATATGTTCAAAATTAATTCTATCTATTGTGTAAAATTACCAAAAAGCATCTATGAAATTATTATTGATTACAGGTGGTACTGTATTTGGTTTTTGGTTTATCTTATTAAAAATGTGTCTAGAGCAATGTAATATTCTTCAGTAGAGAAACTTTGAGAGCTTATTCAAAGAAGGATGTTGCTACTTCCTGTTTTATTCAAGAACTATTTTAAAGGATCTTATTGTCCCAGGCCAAAAAAATGATTTGAAAATAACCATTTTAATTTTTAAATTTATAAGCATCCACTGTATATTTTGGAACATAATAATGTAGGTATAGAATCAGTGACTGCCTACATAATTAAAGGGAAGTAAAGGATGCTCTTAGTAACCACCTGTATTTTTTCCCCACTAGGATATTCAATACTTCAAGCTATTATGGAAAAAGCAGGACAAAATGGTTGGCATGTCAGCGCTATATGTGTGGAAAATTTTAATGATGTCAGCTATAGACAACTTCTAGAAGAACTGGATAGAAGACAAGAGAAGAAATTTGTCATAGACTGTGAGATAGAGAGGCTTCAAAACATATTAGAACAGGTAAGTCCTGGATTTTATACTATTATTAACCTAGTTCTTGTACTAAAAAAGCTGACCTTTGGTTTACTTGTCCCCATCAATATCTTCTTCCAACCATTAAGTTTGAAATGTGGAGTTAGGAAGTTTTCATTCTATGGTTTATCTCCAAGATTAAATAATAATCTGCTATTGCAAAGGCCATTTTGGTTTAGATCTCAAAGCAGGAAGGAGCACTATTTCTCAGACATTTTTAAGCTGTACAATAGAAAGAGCCCTTTGTGAACCATCAAGATTTCTTGACCTCCTATTTTCATAAACATCATTTTTTTTCTTCTATATCTATATATTTTTTAAATTTATCTTTATGGTTGAAAGTAATACAGATGTCCCATTTTTCCCCCATTAACCCCTCCACCTTGCACTCTCCCCCCCCCACCACCACCAGCCATTCACCACACTATTATCTGTGGCCATGGGTTATGCGTACCTGCATATAAATTCTTTGGTTAATCTCTCCCCACCCACTCGCCTAATTTTGAAGATTAATGCCATTCCATCTAAAATATTTGAATATTGTAATATTTGTGATGGTGTGCTTTTTCTAACCTTTAGAGGAATAGTTACATGAGAAATAACAACATGAATTAGTAAAGCAATGAAACAAAGCAAAATTAAGTGGCATAGGGTGCACAGCATAATTTCTTCAAGATGTGTTAAGTAAATACATTATCGCCATAAGAAAGGTGGTTTTCAACTCTCCGCATGAGAGAAGAATCCTTGAATAAAGCTTTTGAAATGTAATTTTTGGACCAGATTCTTTGTCTGCCAGAATCAAAGAATGAATCCACAGACAGAAAGTGGTATAGCAAAGGTGGAGTTTATTAAAGAACAAATACAGACTCCCACGGGAGAGGGAAAGGGTCCCACTGAGTTCCTTTTCCTTGTGGCTTATAAAGGCTACAAATCCTGGTGCCTTGATATCCCCTCTGATTGGTCACTATTCCCTTAAACTGGTTACTATAGTAACTCCTGGGCTCAAAGGGGAACCAAAAACCAAATACAGTACTACCCTCCTTCCTTATTGCTTTCCTATTCCCTTTGGGCTTTCTTCTTCTTCTGGATGAAGGGCTTCCTTCCCTTTATTTTGTAAATATAGACCTTTTGCTGTTCCCAGCTCCCTCATTCTATGGAAATGTACCTGTTGCAGCTTTTCAGCTTCCCTATTCTATGGAAATATGCCTTCTGCTGCTCTGAAACCCTGTGCTTGCTTCCTCCATGGTCCCCTTAATTTCTAAAATTTCTAAAATTTCCTAAACCTGTCCTATTTTACCCCTAAAATTCCTGTTTCACTTTCAATAAGTATTTGTTGATTTGATTTGAAGGAAACTATAAAATAGAGCTTTGTCATTGTGTTAAATGATAGGAAAATATTGCCAAATAATGGATAACATTTGTGTTCCCCCTAACCTGCATATCATGATGAAGCTTCGAAAGGCCTTATTTGACCAAAATTGCAGTGAATGAGTGCCATCTAGTGGTCTCAGAAATGTTTGCCTATATTCATCTACAATAAGGAGTTGGCTAGACAATATTGCAGCATGATTTTTTTTTTATTAGTTTGCTATATATACTTTATCTACATAATTACATGATTTGATTTGTGGTAGTAAATTTACCAACTAAAAGGTTTATTTCTAATAATAACTTAAATATGCAGCTATTCAAAACCAGCATGTGTTTCGGAGATTCCTCATTATAAGAGGGCATTAAACCAACTGCCTTATATTTCCTTCCTCAACTATATTAGAGTTTGTAAAAGTTAAAAATTTTTAAAAATATAGTATTTCTTTTAACGGTCTAGTAAAGCCAGAGCATACTGTAGAGGAAATGACAGTGTATGCACCTTCTGTCATCCTTTATAGAAAAAAAAAAACAAAAAAAAAAAACCTTGATTGAAGAAATATGTTCATATTATATTGGGAAATAATTCATTACAAACCTGTACATTATCCAGGTTTATTCCTAAAAGAGCCCAAAATTATTAAGGTTGTCACTATTCAGGGTATATGAAATTTTTACTGTATATTTATGGAAACCAAGGAAAAACATTCTTTCTTACTTCAGCTCAAAGTTTCATACTTCCTCTCTCCCACTCCCGTCCAGATTGAGGGTTTGGGTTGTTTGACCTGAACAACTGAGGCTTTGTAAATAGCTCCTCATGAAGCCCAGAGAGCAGTCCATTCTAAGACCTGCTGGTTGCCAAGTTCCTGTCCGAGCTTGAGAGACACTCAGAAAGACCCTCCACGTAGCACCTATGCTTCCAAGACTGTGTCTGGAGAAGGCAGCTGAGTGGTTAACGCACACTGACCCATTTCAGAGGCGTAGCTGGTTTCTCAGAAGAAAATCGGCACACTCGAGTGATTTGGATTAACTCTTTGAATAAGTCTTAACTAAGCTCTTGCTAAGGGAACTGGACATCTTAATTTTTCTTGTCATTTCAAAGAAATTATTTCTTTTCTTTTTCCTAGCCTCATTGAGATATGAATTATGTATAACATTGTGTCAGTTTAAGATGTACAAATGATAATGAAATACCCTAATAATATATTGTGAAATGATTACCACAGTAGGATTAGTTAAAAGCCCATTACTTCACATAATTATCATTTCTTTGGGTGGCTAAGGACATTTACCATCCATTTTCTCAGCAACTTTCAAGGATATAATACAGTGTTGTTAATAGTAGTCACCATGCTGTACATTACAACCCCAGAACTTAGAAACCTTGAATGTCTACATTTTCTATTTCTATTTTTCTTGCTGAATGCTAAAAGGTTTCTGTTTTATCATGATAGCATAGTGATAACGAGGCTAGTAATAGACCTTTGTTCCTTTAAAATGCCTCTTAGGTATAACTCTCATCAATTATAGCAAAGTCTAGGATATTGTGAGAATATAATGTACTCTTAATTGTCATATAAAGTTTCTCTGTAAGAAAAGCTTATTTCTGGTTCTGCAAATGATTTTTACTATATATATATTATATACATATATATGTGTATGTGTGTATATATATGTATATAAATATATATATATATTCACTGTACCACTAAGCAAAATAACTTTTAATGTTTCTAGTTGTACCCCTGACTCATCTAAACACAAGAGCTAATCCAGATATTGTCAGGAATTTGTACATGCATTTCCATAGCTCTGTGGTTCAACACCTTGAATAGATAGAGATAACATAGAAAACAAGTTTAGACAATAAATCAAAGCATTTTTTTAAGTAAAATGCTAAGTAATATTGATCAGAAAAGTATTTTAAAAGAAGTAGCCCTCTCTCAGGAGATGGTGAAATTAATACTATGAAGATAAGGAGATGTGTCAGTAAGTTTCTAGAAAGATGGGCACCCTTCATATCACAGTAGCACACTGTCAATAATTACTTTTTGGACAATTTAATTTGTATCAATTTTAAAAACCATAATGTATATAGCTCACACAATTTCCTCTCAAAATATGTTAATGAACAAAGGTAGTTAGAGAAACATTTCATCTTCCGTATGTTTTCCAAATCATTTTTATGCCATGAACTAATGCATTTTTATAAATGTACTAGAGGCCTGGTGCACAAAAATTCGTACACTCCGGGGGGCGGGGGGGCAGGTCCCTCAGCCTGGCCTTCGCCCTCTTGCAGTCTGGGAGCCCTCAGGGGATGTCCGATTGATGGCACAGAGGGCAGGCCTAAGCCACAGTCTGGCCTCCCTCTGCGGAAGGTGACAGGCGGGCCAATCAAGGGACAGGGCGGTGAGTGACTGGCCCTGCCCCCCATCACCCCGCCACTGGTGGCCTCTCTCTGTAGGAGGTGACCAGGTGGACCAATCAGAAGACTGCGCTGGCCAGCGAGTGGCCAGCCCCACCCCCCCACCCCACCCTCCCGATCGCCCCTCCACCACCGCTAATCGCTGCTGCCCTCTTCATCGCCATCCCCTCCCTCTGCCTGCTGGCATGTGCCTTGGCTGGCCTGGCACCGCCTGCTCGTTGGTCCTGGCCCCCCACCAACTGGTTGTTTCGCTGTTCAGTCAATTTGCATATTATGCTTTTATTATATAGGATTGCTTTTTAAAATAGCAGTTAACTATATTCTCATTCAAACATTTCAAAACATGAGCTTCAAAACAATTATTTGAAATTATAGCTTAAAGTATATTGATTTTTCTACCTTAAGTTACACCATAGGAAAAAAAATGGAAAAATTATATAAATATCCCTCACTGAGTTATTTAAAACAATAGAAACATAACAAAACTATGTTATATTTTTGTCATTTTGTTTGCATCACTCTTCAATAAAACAAATTTCATTTTTGGCTCTCAAAATCTAATGAGCAATTTGGTCCACTCCTCTGCAGAAAAACAACATTGAAAACTTACAACTAAAAATATTTTTTAGTATTTGTTGAACTTTTTATCAATTATTGATAGAAAGAATCTCAAATTTTACTTAAATTAATATAATCAGTTGGACAATGGCATTATTCATTTCACCCCATTTTCTTGCTCTAACAATATGTCATTTTATAGACTAGCTCATAATAGCTAAATTTAACTGGAAGCAAATGAATTGTTTTCATATCAAAATAAATGACTTATAGCTGGAGCCTTTCAAACATTATTTTATGTTTACAGATATCTATTAATTTTTAATCTTGAACCTGACTACTTGAAAAGAGTCCCTCAGTATGCTAATACCTTATCAGTTGAACACTGAAGAAGCAGATTTTGATTTATAAGTTTAATCCAATAGCAAAAAAGCAACAAAAACTTGATCCTTATCTTTCTGGCATCTGGCATCAAACATTACTTGAACAAAATAGCACTTAAAATTAATGGTTGCTCACAGATTTACTCCATCATGAGAAAAACCTAAGGCCCTACAACTAGATTTCTATGTTCCTGTTTGTCAAGGAACTGTTTCTCATGAACATTCAACTCATCCTTTGAAACATGCAGTTGTCA